GGTATAAGCTTAAACCCCTTCATTTAGCTGTAGTCAAGCCAATATTGCAAGGTATAATATTTTTTTCGTTGAAAAATATTTGTTTGAATCATTAGATTATGTGAAAGGTTTTTTTTTTCAAACTCAACAAGAGATAAATTGGGTTTTTATTGATAGTTTTTATAGCGACTTTTTAAGTGTGACAAAGAGTATATATAAAGAAAAAATTGAAATGACGTGAAATAATTTTTTTAACATGTAAAAAATTATTTCGAAAAACTCTTTACTTTTTTTAATTCAAAGATAATAAAAAGATAAGATATTGTTGAACATTAGTAGAGAGTTTTAAAATATTATAATAGAAGTTATATCATGGATAAACTCAAAAATCGAAATATTATGGAATATTTACATAATATCCGGCCAAATTTATTGTTTACTTTTTATAGCTAATATAAATAGATGGTATACCGATAACACACGATTATACACATATCATATATGAATTATGTATAAATTACACATCATTCAATTTTTTAATTTAAGTGGTCGGGTGAGCACCTATTTAGGCTGATTAGAATAAAGCCAAAAGAAAATTATGAAATAATTTCAACCAAAGCCTAAAAATATAATTAAAGTTCATATGTAGAAAATTTTTATTAAAACTCATCCTTTTATAGTGAAATAAATTAATTTTTTGTAACAAAAGAAATAATAACATTAAAAAATAAGATAAAAGAAAATAAATATTAAAAAAAATGTTAGAAAGATCAAAAAACGAAAGAAATAAAAGATGACAACAAATTTCTTCTTATGTTTCATCTTTGGTGAGCATAAAAAATTTGAAAGTTAATCTCATCGATTTTAAATATATATTTTTTCAACTCAAATACATAGATTATAAGATAAGGATATCTTCGAATATTTTTTTAATTTACATTATGTGTCGTTTTTAAAAAATTACTATTACTAACAAACTGATATGATATTCGAGTTTGAATTGGAATGCAATTTTTTCAACTCAAATAAATAGATTTTTTAAGTATGGTGTCGAAAAATAAACTACTTGACAATTTTAAGACAATATATGCAATGTTTTATAATAATAATCAACTAATTTAACATTTAGTGATTCAAAGAACAAATTTTTTGTATATATAGGGTATTAAATATTGAAATTCTGGGGCTAGAGATATCAATAAACTTAAAGTGGAGTCATACTGAAATAAATCCGGCCAAAGAATCATTTAAATTTTTAGATAGCCGATTAAAGTGAATTTTAAATTAATTATAATATCTTCACTTGCATCATTATAAAGATAATCATTATTATAATATATATAAAGTTTAGAAATTGAAATTTCAAAATAGAAATATTTTTGGAAAGATAAAATCATACCAAATAAGAGTTCAAGTCGTAGTATAGGAGTCACGTCATAATCAAAGAATCGTTTATATTGTGTCAACCTTTGTGCTTTGCCATAAATATGAGTTATTATTTCACTTTGTGGCTATTTTTAGGTTCCAATGACACCTGTGAGAATAGTGCAAAAATAAAATTATCACTACGAGAATTGAGAAAATGTTAGTCTCTTTTCATGTAGTGTTTCTTAATTAATATCTGACGTTATCTATAATTAGTTAGAAGCTTTAAATGTTAAGGTTATTTACATATAATTCAAATAACTCAAATATTTAACACGGTTAATGTCATCAAAATGGAGTAAAAAAAATTCACTAGCTAAAGAATTTTTTATATTTTTAAATAGCCAACTAAAATGAGTTTTGAATTAAGAATAATATTTTCAATTACATTATTATAAAAATAATTATTATTGAAAAATAATGTTTTAGAAACTGAAATTTTAAGAAAGAAATATTTTTTAAGAGATATCAACACATCAAATAAGAGTTCAAGTAGTAGTAAAAGAGTTAAGTCTTATCCAAAAAAAAACTGCTCACACTCATCTACAGTATAGAAATGAAAAGTCTTGAATTCATTAGAGATTAGACACAACATATGTCTTATACCATCATCATCCTCAATCTCATAATAATTACCAGATGGACCATTCACAATTAGTTGTTAAACACCTATATATCCTAACTCATTAATGTATAAATTCACTAGATATTTGTACGATAGAAGTTCAGAAATACAAGACATGTGGGCTTGTGATCCAGTCCCCATCATAATGCAAGATTAGGTCCACCAGTGGCATCTTTGCTATTCTATAAAGGTAACAATAAAAAATACCTAAGCAATTAAAAAATTACTAATAAAGAATACGGGGACAAACAACAAAAATTTAAATAACATAAACAATACTAATAAAGAACAATAAGTAAGAAATTAAACAAAGCAAAATTATAAATCATGTATGGATTTAAGGGAACACAAATAACATGTAACAACTAGGGGACCACAAATAATTCAAGTAGTAAAGGCCCACCAGTACTAAAATATTCACAGATTTCAGTTGTGAGGGAAGAGCATTCAACACACCCAGCACAGACATATGCCAAACAAGAAAACGATTAAAAGGAACAAATGAAACCCCACATTATCATATCTCACCAACTTTAATGCTTACAAAATTCAGAAACGACTAAAACAAAATACATGCAAAGGCATTCCACACAAGAAAATAAGACAAAAAGGTCAGAAAATAACATCTTAAACTAAGACATAAGAAAACAAAACATATTAAAGCCCCAAAACGATTTGAGCATAAAACCCTAATAATAAACTAAGACAAATACACATAGAGGGGAGATAAACAAGTAATATTACGCGGATTAAACATACCTTTTCAGAAAATTAATTCTTGAATCAGCAGCATCAATTAAGAGAAGGCTTTCTTGAAGAACCCTAACTTTTGGTCTCGTGGTTGAAGGAAGGTTTGAGGACCAATTTTTTTGGGGTGTTCTTTAAGTGATATACGGGTGGGTCGAATAAAATGAACCGGGTCGTGGGTTAATTAAAAAATAGGGGGTGGGTTTAAATCGTCCAATCAAAGACTGCCAAGTGGATATTTTAATTTTAAATGGCGGAGTAGATGGTGGAGGGACATTTTAATTTCTGGGCACAAACGGTAAGGACTTTTTTAATTAAATAGTATAACGGGGGCCAGATATGATTTATTTTAGATAGTAGAGGGACATTTTTGGCCCTTTTTCGTATAAATATAAACAACACTGATTGGCATAAATATGAAGTAAATAGCATTAAATAGCAATAAATTATGTATAATGGTATTTATGTAAATAAATGTGAGATGACCGAAAAAGTGATGAAGATATATAATATTTCTTCTGACAATGATAAATGATTGCCCAAACTTTGAATATTCGAGTTCTTCTTGGATCGTGGGAGAAAAGCTAGACAGGAATCTCAAGAAAAAAAAAACTTTTGTATGTATGTAATAAAGCAAGAATCTCTCGAGAATGTCAAAGTGTTCTTTTACAATGAATGTTTAATGCCCCCTATGATTATGTCTCTTTTTTATAAGGGGACATGTGTCGTAAAACTCTAATAGTACAGATTCTAGGAATATTCACTGGAATATTCTCTTTAATGTCAGATCAACAAAGCTAGCCATTACTGCTCTATTAAGGAGGGTACTCGATCTCGACCTCGATCTCTGTTGACTCCTCGACCTAGCCCCTATCTTTCGTCATATCACTTCGACCTTGAATCCGTCTTTTGTTGAATTTATACTGATGACATGTGGTAGCATTCGAAGACTCTCCTAGTGTTAGCGCGGCCTAAATATAACTAGAATAATTTTTGTCCTATACAATAATCATTTAAAATATCAAAGGATTTTATAACTTGATAGTAAAGGCATTTCAAATTCAAAATTTAGTATTAAATATTAATATTATTTCAGTTATAGATGAATTTAGAAATGAGGATAATCAGTTAAAATATCATATAGAAAATTATATAAAGTGTGGGGATAGATATTTATAAGTTGAATTAGTTTAAAAGTAATAAAGTAAGTAGTCAAACATAATATTAATAAATGTAGTCAAATGAAGATGAACAATAGAATAATTTTTTAAAGAAAAAAAATTAGGAGTAAAAAAAATACATATCTATGTTATATTAAAAAGAGAATACTTGACAAAAATATTTAGTGAGGTGACAAGCTGATAAACGTCATAATAGCAAATGCACTAATGCTAAATACAATGTTTTATGTAATAAAAATGAGGAACAGCAAAATTATTCGATGACTGTATGAATCCTTTTCTAATTTCATAAAATTCTTTTATTGGTATGCTTTATTGGGTAACAAGAAGGGATGTGAAATTTAATTCAAACAATGTGATATAATATGCTCAAACTAATTAAATCACATGATATGATTAATATTCTTTAATATTCTTTGCGCATCATGCGGCTATTAATATTAGTTGGTTAAGAAATTGAATGGATTAATTTGTTAAAAATAATAAAAGATTGGAGAAAATTTGAACTAAATCGCGACAGACCTATGAGCTGAATTGGGTCAAATCCAACCCCCGAATCTGGTTGCTGTTGATTGAGGAAGAAGGTTTTGGTGCCCGAACAAAGCCCAAAAGGATTTAGAGCAGTAGAGGTCATTGATTATTATAAAATACAACTAACTGTTACATTTTTCTTGTCTTTGTCTTGATTATTTTCTAGACACAAAATTTATTGTTACATTTTAATTCTGTAAAATGCTTGTGCACGCAAAAGAGCTAAACCAAACAAATTTAATGCAGAAACAAACCAATTAAGCTACCTTAGGAAGCCTCAAAATTGAGTCTAGATAATCAATACAACCTGGAGGGCAGCATCTGCTAATACCAGAGCAATTATTTGAAAGCTCGCTTTAGAAACTTCGACACGAATGCAGGGGCGGATCCAAAACATTACATACAGGTTCACCGGAACCCAATAACTTTATATATATATATATATATATATATATATATATATATATATATATATATATATATATATAGAAA